GGGTTAGGCGAGGTTCGTAAATTTAAAAAAAATGAAAAAATAAAAAGCTCTCGGTCAACCTACCGTCATATTGATGAGCATTTCGCTGTTGTTGCGGTCGAAGTGCACGGTCACCATTCGTATCCCATCGTCCACCACGAGCACGGAGCGCGGGAAGAGGAAGAACGCCACCAGCGAGGAAGCCAGCAGACAGAGCACTACGGACAGGACCACGTACTGCTTCCTGCAGAAACGCCCCTTACGCCATCATTCCCAAACCAACGTCGTGATCTTTCATTACACTGGATAGTGAGAGGCCACCGGAGACAGACGAGCGGGTTTGGCTTACGTTCTCTGGGGCTGCAGCCTCTGGTCAGAGTAGGGGATCAAAGCCACCAGTTCATTCACTTGCCCTGGAGAAGAAGTGATGCATCATTAAGGAGCCAGAAGCACAGCAATAAGCACAGCAATAAGCACAGCAATAAGCAGAACAGAGTCGTATTCTGCACAGGCGGCCTTCAGCTACCATTCAGCTGCTGGCAAGGAGGACGAATGGATGGGCAATTTCGTCACCCAGGACAAATTAGTCTCGACAACACATCAGTTATGTGACCAGCATGCCATCTCCCCGAAGGAGGGGGCGGGGGAACAACCGGGAAAAATCGAATGTGATTGGTTGTTTGTGGCGTTGTTGGATTGACCAAGTAGCTTGGCGATTATTAACATTTGAAATTCAATAGTATTAGACAGGTTAGTAGTTAGTGTAATTTAGGTATAGGTATAGTGAGGTACATGTACAGTAGGTGTAGTATCAAAGATTTTATTAGATAGTTAGAAACATATATTGAAAAATTAGATAATTAAGGCTGTCACTACGGACTATATCAATAATCGAGTAATCCACTGATTAATCAGGTGATTCATTGAGTAATCATTTATATACAATACAATTAAAAGGTAAAATATAATATGATATAATAATAAATGCAATTGGCGCGAGGCAGGAACCAATGAAATATTGCAGGGTCACACTCAGTCACACAATCAATTAAGGCTCCCCTGTTCATTTCAGTTACATACATCTGGACAGTGGAAGGAAACTGGAGACTCCGCTGAAAAGCCACACACACACACTGGGGGGGGGGGTAGACAGCCCCACCTGCTGCACCACTGTGCCCCCCCCGACAGTCTTGCATGGTGTACAATGCTAATATTGACATGGCATTTCATGCATATGCACCGGTCACATCGCAAGGACCACACTAGTTTGCAAGCTTCACTTTAAATCATCAGCAAGTTGCGGAAAAAACATCTATGGTCAATCATAGGAAACAAAATTCAAAAAGGTTTGCAATTTTAATGATTGTTCCTTGTTTCAATGTTATCTAGTGTGTGTGTGTATATAAACAACACACACATTTATAATTGGTTTAGAATAAAATCCTTCAAAACTCTTGTCTGAAAATGTGTTTTTCCATTGGTCTCGACATCTACTTAGCATGCAAATATAAAAAATAGGTTTTAATATATACATATACTATACAGGGCTACAGACTGCAACCATTTATTCACACTTTGCAACCATTTTTAGAGACAGCGGTGACTGAACTCTAACCACACCAGTGCAACCTGCAAATATGCCTGCCATTGTTTTTTAACTACTGTCATATACCACATGAAACAGTCTGAATGAGAATTGGTGAGTCTGTGTGTGTAATGCACTTTCCCACCACAGGAACTTTTTTCTGGAACCAGAAACTTCTGTCATGTTCCCACCACAAGAGGTACTACTGGGGTGGGGCTTACAAAGATAGCTTGCTGATTGGTTGACCAGAAACACCATCGCTAAGTGCAGGGGGAAAAAAAAAAAAAAAGACAGAACTGGTGGAGCAAAAACTAAACAAACTGAATTATTTTTATACCTCAATTATATTTAATACATTAAGGAACAGGTTTTTGCTTGCGTCTCCATATTTCGCAATCTATTAGCCGAATAACGTTACATTGTTTTTTATTCTGTGGAATATTAAAAATTGATCTGCGGACCAAATTTAATAATGAATTATACACATGTTGTGGGTTGTGTAAATAAAAGCCGGTGCCCATTATGATCGCAAATCGATCCACCCAGTAACTAATATGACCAATAAAACAACGTGTTCATCATCCACATGAAAGCGGCCAGGAGCTACAGAAGTCAAGACGACTCAGGAACTCGGAACCAGGAACCAGGAACCAGGCTCCTGAATGTCGGTGGGGAAGTACGCCATGAATCACTCATAAAGCTCAACAACAGCCTGAAGTACAATCTATGTAGGGACAGATGCACTGATGGTATAGCGGCCAGCCACATATCTTATGTTTATCCTTGCAAATTTTGCATTTGGTGTTTGTTTTAAGAAGCACCATTTAACTTAATGATTTTCCCCTCTTAAAGGAACAGGGTTCCTTTATTTTAAAGGAAAAAAAAAAAAGTTACATCAAAATGTTATTCCTGCAAGTTGTATAACATTTATCAGAAATACAGTCAAAAAATGTTTCTTGTATTGAATGTCAATTTAAGTGGTGTGCCTAAATTTTGTGCTGGTGCTCCTAAAATTTCCAGCAAAGAAGTGCTAGTAGTGGAAAAGGGCCAAACTCAGAAAGAATCTCTAAAAATTAAGAATGGTCTTGAAGCCAAACACAGGTGAAATTAATACTAAAACGTTTTTAAAATTCGCACTCAACTTCAGTAAGAAGTTATCATCCTACACTAATTGTAGTTATATCAACAACAAACAGCGAAAATTAAGTTATACACATTTTTGACGTTCGACCTTGGTGACCAGCAGGCCGGCCACAGCCAGCGTCCCAAGACATTGGTTATTTTAAAATGTATCGAAACTTTTTAAATTTAGAAATTGCCATCTGTAGGACAAATTACCAGTTCTCAGGTTGAATATGTCACTGTTAATAAATACCTTAAGGATAATGTTACATTACAGAAAGCCACTTCATTCCCCCAGGGCAGACTCACCTGAGGGGATCCGGCCAGTGCCCTGACAGGTGGGGCAGGTGATGCTGTCCCGGCCAGTGAATTCAACATAAGGGAACTGCGCAATGTCCTCCTGCCTATCCCGACCATCCAGAGAGTCATTGTCATCCTCCCACTCGCTCCCCTGCTGCCCCCTCTGCCCACTTTTGGGAAGAGGCAACAGGGTGCCGGCACTTAGGGACCACCGTGCACCCATGGGCCGGCGGGTCGATGGCAGGTAGCCCCTGGCAGACAGGCGGTGACAAGGCGACACGCCGGTGCGCAGCTGGCGGTGAAAACAGTAGAAGGGAAAAAAAACACACATGGTTGCCGAGAAATAACAAAACACTACTCAAGCTTGCTGTTCAAAAGCTATATTAGAGAATCAACACAAACAATGTCTATTAATGCAAAGTCTATTCACGACTACTGCAAAAAAAGATAACTATCAAACAAGTAAAGGCAAAAGTTGTTTACTCGTGATCCGCGCATCAAGTTTTAATAAGAAAAAAAACGTTTTCTGCCTTCAGAGAATAACCAGTGCGCTAGCTAATTTCTAGAAAAACACCCGAAATCACATCTCTATTACAGCTTCTAAGAATATATTTAAAGTACAGCCAAAAACCTTCCGGCGCGAACTATTTAATGCCTTTAGCTAAGGGGCTAGTCACACCCCGCGAAACGTACTATTATAGTATATAACAATTACATGTGATTAGACATAATCCAGACCTGCTTAGTATTTATAAATGTCTCCAGTGACCGTCCAGCCGTCCGCACAGGCTCCTGGACACAGCTGGACACGCACACGCCGAGATCAGCCCGGCTTTCACTTCCCCACTCCGTCTCATAACATCACACTTCTAACGCCACTTATATCAGTCGCTTATATCGGTCACTTCCGGGTCCCTGGCCACGTGGTACAATCACAGGCACGACGCGGGGCCCGTAATGTCCGCGTGCAGGGGTTTTAAGGGACCAAAACGGAGGTCTCTGCGAGCAGAAATTCTTCGCACTTATTAGAACTAATTTGACTGAAATAAACATGTCCTGATGTAGTTCTCCATGCAAATATGGGAAATGAATATTCAAATGTTTTCATATATTCTTTAGCAACGTTGTAGAATGTAGTTCAAGTTATTCCTCACACTAGTTGTATTGCATTTTAATTGATGGAGTAATTTATGTACAGGAAAATACGGATACTTTGTTATTGTACTTAAGTAGTTTTTCCGAATTTGAACGTTGAGTATTTTAAGTTGTTTCAACTTCAGGTTTCACTTCGCCACATTGCTGAGCCAAATACTATACATTCTGTTCGACCACCGTTACTCTGCCATATTATTATTATTAATATTATTGCATGCAGTCTACACGATTCTAGTGTAATAAGAATCAACATTTTTTTTCACTGAGAATCGAGATCTGTAGTCTCACAATTCTTGCGCAATTCTATATCATCCATCCATCTTCTATCTATCTATCTATCTATCTATCTATCTATCTATCATTCTGATGATGATGATTATTATTATTATTTTGCATAACATTAACTTTTGTGACACTCCATTCTATATCCATGGGCATAATATGGAGTTGGTCCTTTGCAGCTATAACAGCTGCCATTCCTCTCTGAAGGCTTTCCACAACATCACAAGATGTTGGAGTGCATCTGTGGGAATTTTTGCCCAATCATCCAGAAAAGCATTTGTGAGGTCAGGCACTGATGTTGGACATGAAGGTCTGGCTCACAGTCTCCAACCTAGTTCATTTCAAAGGTCTTTGATGGGGTTGAGGTCAGGGTTCTGTGCAGGCTGGCATTCTATGACAGTACCATACATTCTCCCACAAGTGTTTGTAAATCTTACTGCATGGCTAGGTGCTTGATTTTATACACCTTTGGTATTGGGTCTGAATAAAATACCTGAATTCAGTGATTAAGAGGTGTACCCAATACTTCTGTCCATATGGTGTATGTGTGTGCATGGTTAGAGTAATCAGAGGAAATGATCTGTTGTGAAGCAAATACATTTTTTCTTTTTGATCCATTCATCTTGGTAATGGCACAGGTCATTTAAAAACTGATTTTATATCTCTGTGTGTGTGTGTGTGTGTGTGTGTGGATTAGATATATTACCTGTTTTTTTGACATTGTGGGGACCATTTTTCAAGTCCCCACAAAGATCTGTGAATGCAATCAAAAAAGTCAAAATGCCAAAAATCTCATATTTTGTTTGGTTACTTATGGTTATCGTTAGGGCTGGGTAGGGGTTAAGGTTGTCATGTTGGGATTAGAGTTTTCCCCATAGAAATGAATGGAGAGTCCCCACAAAGATATAATTACAAATTGTTATGGGACTGGCCCGCCTGATTTTCTGCCCATGTTAAGTTTTCTGGCTCCGCTTTTGGGGTCAGCCTTTTTCTGTAGTGGTGGACGAGGGTTTGGTTCATTCACCATTTATAAGAGGTCTCAAAGTACCAAAATGTTTGTAATTCATTATTAAATCTGGCCTGTAGTTCGGTCTTTCGTTTTCCATAGAATTGAAAACGATAGAACGTTGTTCCATTAATCTGTGCCATCAAGGTTGGCCA